TTTCAAAAAGAAAAACGAAGTTACCGTTAAGTTTTCATTTCAACTGAATAAACATTGAAGTTTAGTTATTATTGTAGTTATTGCTGGTTATATTATGAAATAAATTGGAAATTTTTTGTTGCAAATTTGAGAAATACCTAAGAAATTGCATCTTGGCCATTCAGGATTTAAAATTTATTAGTTTTTTCTCTTTATTTGAATTTGCCTTTCCCTGTTCATCACTTTTAACTTTTTATCTTGACGTTTCTGTTATTTGACTAACAGAATATAAGAATTTTTTCATATTGTTTAAAGTGATTTGTTTGAATTTAAACGATCAAATCAAAACTATTTATCAATAACAATGGTTATCAAATTGAATATTCAATGAAAAAAACATTCTGTGAATATTATTATTCTTATTGAATACAATTGTGTTTACAAGTTTTAAATTATCATAATATCGATCATTTTTTGTTGTTGTTGTTGTCGAAAGTTTATCGGCCGATTTTGTTTGCCATTTACCATGTTTATCAATCGGTTATTATTGTTGTTGTTATTGTTATTGTTGTTGAATTTTATACTTTCAAAACAATTCGTACTTTTTTAAAACGATTATTGTTATTGTTGGCAAATTTACTTGATCTTTGTTTTGTTTTGTTTTTTTTAATTTCAACAATATTTTGAATGATTGAATGAATGAAATATTTTTTGAATTAAAAATATAACTAAGCTGGAAGTAGAAGAAAAACGAAAGGGATAAATCCCTTGATGTATGAAATGAATGAATGAAACAAAACGAAAACTTTTTAGAAATTTCATCTGCACAAAATCAAAAGTAATGATCGAATATGTTTCATTTTTTGTTCTGTATTTGAAATTATTATTATTATTATTAAATAATAATAATAATTCTTTCGACAAAAACAAAATATCTAATCAATCATGATGAACCAAACCGAACCGAACAACAAAAAAAAAGAAAGAAATTACTCGACATTTGAATGAAATTTAAATATACATTATGATTGAAAGAAACTGGAAAAAATGAAAAACCAATCAATCAAATCTATTTATTATTATCTTTCTACTTGAATTTGGATGTATTCTAAATTTAGACATTTCGTGTTCAACATATATCTTTGATTGAACCATTTGGCTGACGAATCGTTTTTCGGGTTTTTTTTCCTTCCTTTAGAAGGAAATGGTTTTTTATTTTGGTTCCATAAGTCTTTTTTTTAATATTTGAAATCGCTTAAAGAGTTAAATATCCTGTTTCATCTTTATCGACCAAAAACGCGAAAAAATTCAATCCCTTTTTTAACCAAAAAAAGGAAGGAAATTTGTTTCAAGATTAATTATGAAAGATTGTGTTGAACGATGAAGACAAGCAATAACAACAACAACAAAAAACGGTAACACACACCGACACATTAAATGTGATGAGATTTTCTTTTCTACACACCAGGAAAAGAGAACAAAACAAAACCAAAAAAAACTTTGACTACAGAATCTAATTTCCTTTGATTTCTTTTCTTTTGACCCATATTTCATTCAAATCATTTCATCACATTTAAAAAAATTTCCGATTTTTTTTTTCATCTATTTAATAAGAAGAATATTTTTTTAAAAAATAAGATTTCAACAATTGTAAATTCAACGACAGTCATATCAGTTTTTCAAATGTTTTATTGCCTCTCTCTCATCGTTTAACATGATTGTTCATGATTCTAATATATTCATGTTCTTATGTCATGTCGTTAGTTTTAGGAATTGAATTCTTCTTTTTTTTTATTTGGAAATTCTGTGCCTTGAATTTCGGCCATATTTTTTTCGTCTTGTCTTATTAACTAAAAAGCATTTCTTGATTTGAAACTTTAAAATTTTATTTATATTACTTTTATTCTTGTTCATTTATAAGAATTTTCATCAAGTTTGAATGTAATCCTATACTTTTTTCTCTTCAATTTTTCTCTTTGTCATCAAAATATTTTCATTTAAAATGGAAATAATTAATCACCGAAAAGTTTATGAAATAAGATAATTCTATAATTATGAAATGTTTTTAAATTAAAAATAAAATATTTAATTTCTCAAAAATAAAACAAACACAGATAAGATGAAAATCTTTTCATTTCCGAATAAACATAAATGAAAATTGTCAAGTTTTTGTGGAAATGTTCATCGGAACACCATCATCGTCATTATTATTATGTTATATCGTCTTTCATGTTGGATTAGTGTGGGAGATTTCATTTTCATCATGTCGAATTGGATTCTTCTTCGTTTCTTTTCTGACATTGTTGTTGACCGAATAACTTAATTTTTTTCTGTTATTATCACATCAAGAATGTTCTCGAATAAGCATCTACACACCAAAAAAAATGATGAAAACTTTATTAAACAAAGTTTTAAGCCAACAATCTATTTTTTTCATTAGAACTGTGTTTGCTAAAAAAATATATCAAAAAGTTCATTCAATCTAAAAAAAATAATTAAATGTGTAAAAACTAAACATGGAGAATTGTTTTTTTTGTAATTGTTATTCTTGAAAGAAAATTTGATTAAATAATAATAAATCAATTTTTTTCCCTCTCTCACTTTCTTCCATTTGTTTTCAAAAAAAAAAATAAATATCGAACATTTTTTTGTTTTCATTGTTTGCCATTAGGCTATTTTTGTTTTGTTTGATTTTTGTTTTCAATTTATGTTTCGGCAAAGAAATCACATTTAACGTGTAATTTTTTTCATCTCTTTTTTTATTATTTTATGTTTGAAAAATAAACTATTATTGCCATTCGGCAAAAAAAAGGTAATGTGTTTATGTGTCGATCATCATCATCACCTGTTTTCACAACTGCTTAATGTTCAATTGTTTCTAATTGAATTTCATTTTCATTCAAGTGACAAAAGCATTGAATTCAATTTCTCTTTTTTTATCATCATTTTATTCTAGTGTATTTTGTTTTTGTTTTTATCTTTTTGATTCATTCATTTTCAAAATCAGAAAACCATATCAATTGTTTTTGTCATTTAATCTTGAAACTGTTTTTTTGTTTTCACATTTATACATAGAAAACAAATAGTAAATGTTTTTTTCTTTTAATCTACCATAACAAAAAGTAAAAGTAAAAAAGATTGTAACTTGGTTACTAAAGATACTCAGGCTATCGATATTATTATTATTTTTTTTTTCTTTTTGATTGAATTATAATCATTTTATACAATTCATGAGTGTATTTTTGTGTGTTGGTGTCATTGTTAATCTTTATTGATTTCTATAGATTCATCGCCGACAATAGATTTCTGTCTAAATTGTTTGTTTGTTTGTTAGCCAATTCTTTGTTTCAATCTTTTTTTTTCTAATCATTAATTGAATCTATAACAACAACAACAACAACAACAACGAAAAAAACCGTACAATTTATCAATTGATGATGAAGAAGAAAATAATCAGAAAACTTTTTTTTTCAGATCATTGTTACAAGTTGTTGCAAACATAGAATTCCAACTTATTATGTCATTTTTTACGAAACAAATAAACGAAAAAAAAAACATTAACAACAACAAAAATAACATGATGATGATGATGATGATCAAAACAAAAAAAAAACATTTGATTCAAATTAAATGTCTAAAGCATCTGCTATTTAGCAAATTTAAATCCTTCTTCAATTGATTTCTGCAATTGATTTGATTTTTTACTAAATATCATTGTTGTTGATGATCTATGATAAACTTTTTTTTTCTATAAAATAATAATGATTATTAAAAAAAAGTAGAAGTTAAAAATATACACCATTATCAACGATGACATCAAATCAAGTATCTTTGTGTGTTTGAGTGTGTGTGTGTGTGTGATTACATCTATAGCAAAAACTGTATAAATTATTCATGTAATAACATTGAAAAAACAAAACAATGTTATTATTATCATGCTATCCCATTTCGAATGAAATGATTGTGGCAAAAAATAAATAAAACGATTGATACATATATTGTAATAGTAGTTTATCTTCAAATAGATTGAATGATAGATTGAAATTGAATATATATCGATAATAATATTAATTTCATTTGTGGTTCAAATGATTATTTTCATTCATTCATTCATTCTTTTATTGAAAAAATATGATCAATTGTCTTTTTTTTTGGTTTCATTCTGGTTACCTTATCATTATCATCATTGACAATCAATTGTGATGGGATGCTGGTATATCCATTAATATTATTCAATTACGTGGATGGTTTAAATCCTCAATCAACCATTTAAATTAAAAAATATGATACCATCATCATCATCATCATTGAAATTATCTGATATAGCCTGATTTTTTTTCTTTCTCTCTTTTTCTATTTTCAATTTATTTTCCCCTATTGCAATAATGATTATTTGGTATTTTATGTTGACAACAATCATACTGGTTGTATTTGTACGATTTGTTGGTTATGCATCCAACAGCAACAACAGAAATTAAATGCACACGTGTATTTAGTCAGTTTGACTAGAGTGGAGAAAATCAAAGATAGGAAAGATTCCTTTTTTTTTGCTCTCTCTCTATTTTCGACATTTATTACACAGAATCTAAATCAATCGATCCAATATATCAATGTGTGAGTGCAAAAAAAAAATTAGTCATAAATCTTTATTTGACAAAATTAAAACAACATGGGCTAATGAATTGATTATAATAAGAAAATTTGCTGCCAAAAAAAACGATTCATATTCTCTTTATCTTTTTTGTTTGAATATGAATGAAGCTAATCAATATAATTTTTCTGATGTCAATTTTTTTAATACTAATTCTGTTTTTTCTCTACTTTTCAGATTGTTTCTCGTTATTGAAATTATTGTCCAAAAAACAAAAAACGACAATAACTACTCACTAGGACATATTATTTAACATCGAATTTTTAATTATCTACAACCATTGATGCTACTTTTTTCCTTGCAACGAAACACAAAGAAACAAATATTGGCAATTGCTATTGTATCACTTACGTGTTAAGAAATTATAATTTTTTCTTCATCTTCTTTGAGAAAATCGGTCGATATAAAAAAAACAACGGGAAATAACACCTTTTCACAACAATTGTGTGTTAGTGTGTGTGTGTTAGCGTGCCTACAAAGATTTTGTTTTTATTTATTTTCGAAAGAAAAAAAAATCAAATAACCAAAACAAAAACAAAAACAAAAATGACGATTTTTCGTCGATTTTGGCTTCGCAGAAGCTTAACACGTTTATTAATATTTCTTTGCATCACCTGGGTATTATTTGTGTTAATGTATTCATATCATGGTCATACAAATTCACAAACATACGGCAATTCATATGAAGATATATCATCATCAAATATAAATAATATACAACAACAACAAGATGTTGCATCAGCTATTGCAAATAGATTAAGATCATCTAGGCAACAAGATGATGAAGATTCATCGGATGATGATACGAATCGAATTGATTCACATAATCATATAATCGAAATTAAAGATAATCCAATTAAAAATATTGGTAAACATAAATATCATAAAAAGGTAAAGAGTTCATTTGTTATTGTGTTATTCAAATTCAATTAATTGAAATTTATTTTTAGCCAAATAAAAATGATGATGTGCCAAACTTAGAAGCTGTGATACCACTTCCTTTTAATAGTAGTTCCAATGGTTTTGGCGAAAATGGCCGTCCAATTATAATACCAGTATGTATTTTGAAAAAAAATTTTGAATTTTTTCTCATATCAATGATAATAATTTTTTTTTGTTTAGAAAAATGTTAGTAGAGAAATTCAAAAATTGATTGATATTGGCTGGAAAGATAATGCATTCAATCAATATGCCAGTGATCTCATGTCGTTACATCGTTCACTGCCAGATGTTCGTGATCCAAGGTAAGTAATGATGAACATTTTTTGATTATCAACAATCAATATATTTTAATCATCATTGTTTTTTTCAAAAATAAAAAGATGCAAATCGGTTGGATATGAAAAAAAATTGCCTCCGACAAGTGTCATAATTTGTTTTCACAATGAAGCCTGGTCAGTATTACTTCGAACTGTTTATTCCGTATTGGATAGATCTCCTCCTGAACTAATCAAAGAAATTATTTTGGTCGATGACTTTTCCGACAAAGGTTTGGTTTTTGTTTAGAAAATCAAAATCGGTTAACCTTTGATGTTGAATTTTTTTTTTAAATATTAATTTTATAGAATTTCTTGGCAAAAAACTTGATGATTATGTTCAAAAGTTGAAAAAAGTTAAAGTAGTAAGAGCTAAAAAACGAGAAGGATTGATTAGAGCAAGATTGCTTGGAGCAGCTGCCGCTACGGCACCGGTTTTAACATATCTTGATTCACATTGTGAATGTGCTGAAGGATGGCTTGAACCATTACTTGATCGTATTGCAAAAAGTTCTACTGCCGTTGTTTGTCCAGTTATTGATGTAATTAATGATTCTACATTTGAATATCATTATAATCCTGATGCAAGTGCTTTAAATGTCGGTGGATTCGATTGGAATCTACAATTTAATTGGCATGCCGTGCCCTTTCGTGAACGCAAACGTCATAAAAGTCCTGTCGAACCAGTTTATTCACCAACAATGGCTGGTGGTCTTTTTTCAATTGATAAAAATTTTTTCGAAAAGCTTGGCACTTATGATAATGGTTTTGATATATGGGGTGGTGAAAATCTAGAAATATCATTCAAAACTTGGATGTGTGGCGGTACATTGGAAATTGTTCCATGTTCACATGTTGGCCATGTTTTTCGTTCCCGTTCACCATATAAAGTTTGTTTTAGCTAAAATATGCCTCATTTGTCTTTGTTTATTTATTTATTCAATCATCTTTTTATTTTTTACTAATAGTGGAGATCTGGAGTGAATGTTTTGAAAAGAAATTCGATTCGATTGGCTGAAGTTTGGATGGATGATTACAAAAAATACTATTACGATCGAATCGGTAATGATTTGGTAAGATCATGTTTGGAAATGGAAAAAAAATTGTTTCATATATTTAAACATTATCTACATTTGGAATTTTTTTTGTAGGGAGATTATGGCGATGTATCATCAAGAAAGGCTTTACGAGAAAAACTTCAGTGCAAAAGTTTTGATTGGTATATCAAGAATATCTATCCAGAGCTTTTTGTGCCTGGCGATGCTATCGCTTCAGGAGAAGTAATTTTTTTTTTCATTTGATTGGTTACTGATAAGGCGATAACTGAATTATATGTTTTTTACTACTTTTTTTTTGTGTACAGATTCGTAATCACGGCAATTCTGAATACCAGATGTGTATCGATAGTGCTGCAAAACGATCCGATTTACACAAACCATTGGGCCTTTATCCATGTCATAAACAAGGAGGCAATCAAGTAAATGAATTGAATCTATTTTTTTTTTTTTTTTTTTTTGACCCATTTTGTTCCATCACCCGAAACTATTTTCTTTTTCTTTTTTGACAATTCTAATTTATTATTTTTTTTTCACCCCATTTGTTCAATTTTTCTGTTATATAATAGTATTGGCTTTATAGTAAAATTGGTGAAATTCGTCGTGATGAAGCGTGTATGGATTATGCCGGACGTGATGTCATTTTATATCCTTGTCATGGTTCCAAAGGAAATCAGTATTGGTCTTATAATCATGAGGTTTGAAATCTATAGTTGTTGTTTTTTGTTTTTCACATTTGTTAATTTAATTTTTTTTGTTTACTAATTTAGCTAAAACAAATAAAACACGTTATCACTAGCAGATGTTTAGAAATGACAGCAACAAAAGATCGTCTTATTGTACAATATTGTGATCCAACAAATAAATTTCAACAATGGACATTTTCTGATTATAATTCTTCAAAAATGGAAAATATGCAGGATGCTGATGATGTTGAAGAATAATAAATAAATTTAATAATGATTTAAACAAATCAACCGTCACTATAAACAACAACAACAACAACGATGATCAGACCTATACACTGATCATGATAATAACAATAATTAAATGTTTTTTTTTCTAATTTCTTGAATATCTGTTTTGATTGTATCTCTCTCTTTTTTTTGGAAAAACATGTATCATTTTATCATCATATTTTTGATTTTGTTTATGATATTTTTTCTCTTCTTCTATTGCACAAAGAAAATGTGATTTATCAAATGTGCTCTGATCTTTTTTTCTTCTTCTTCTTCACGCTTTACTTCATTATCTATCTTGATCTATTTCATTTTTTTTCTTGTATTATAAGTGATTGAATATTTTTCTATAAAATTTTAGCCATACTTAAACATTTTTTTTCCAAATTTATATTTAAAAAAAAGAAAAAAAGAAATTTATTGTATGTTATGAATGATAAACGACAAAACAAACATAAATGTCAAAAAAAAAAATCTTTTCCTTAGTTTTTTTTCACTTTTTCACCGGTGCAATATTCGGGTATGTGTGTGTGTGTGTATACGCAATGGAACGAATTATTATCAAAATGGAAACGATAATCTACTATAAGAAGACACAAACATGAACACAAAAAAAGCAACTGTAAATATAACAGATATACAAACACATAAATGAATACAGAGAATTTTTATTTATTTTTCTATGGACATAACATACAAACATACATACATACGACATTCAAACGGTGAATGATTATGAATGATGAAAAAAAATATTAAAAGAATTAAGTTAAATTCATTTTTTTGTCTACCTTTATTATACTATGTGAAATGATTAGATGGATTAAAAATGGCCAAATTAAATTCATGAATTTGTTGATGTCCTTGATTTGATTTGGGGTTTGACAATAAAAGAAGCACAATCTGATAACATTAGAGTGTATTTTAGCTATCAATTATCAATATATTGGATAAACATAGCAAATAGAAAAAAAACATGAAAGTGCATTTTTGATTGTAAATACTTGAAAACAATCAAGTTCATAATCCAATAAATTAGATCAGCTTTATCTTGATTTATTAGTTCCTAAGGCTCAAATTGGAATATCTAAAAGTATATAAAGTTAAATTGTTTGGGTATTAATTAATTTGTTTTGGTTTTGTTTTTGTTTAAATTCAAAATGAACCGGTATTCAATAATCGTACTTTTTCTCAATTTTTGTCTCATTAGTTCATTTGCAGCTGATGAAGAATTTGCACCAATCATTAATCTTCGCCATGGCAAAGTTCGTGGATTGGTTCGTACTATAGTTGAAGGTGATCAAAAAACAAAAATCCATTTTTATCAAGGGTTTCGTTATGGTATGGCTTGTTTGTAGGATTCCATTTTCAATTTCAATATTAATTTCTTTATTATTTTTTCCAAAGGATATGCGAATCGTTTTGAAAAACCAATGATGGTAACATCATGGCCTGGTGGCATTTACAATGCAACAAAAGAAGGCAATTCATGTATACAATTCGGACAGCCATTTGTTGAAAAACCAACACATGAAAGTGAAGATTGTTTATTCTTGAATGTTTATAAACCCGTTACGAATGATAAGAAATTATTGCCAGTAATGGTTTGGATTTATGGTGGAGGTTTTCAAGAAGGTTCAATATTTTTTTCCATGTATGACTCTGCTCATCTTGCATCATATGGTGAGGTTATTGTTGTTTCCATTAACTATCGTCTAGGACCATTTGGATTTTTATACGGAGGCGACAATAATGCTCCAGGAAATCTCGGTTTTCATGACCAGCTTCTAGGTTTGAAATGGATTCAAGAAAATATTGAAAATTTTGGTGGCGATCCTAAAAGTGTGACAATTTTTGGCGAATCTGCTGGATCCATTTCCGTATCAGCATTAATTCAAGCACCATTAGCTGAAGGTTTATTTCATCGAGCTATAATGCAATCTGGTGCAGTAATATCAACTTTATTCGATAATAAAGATGTCGCCTTAAGAAAAACAATGAAATTTGCTGTACAGTTGAATTGTGATATACAAGATAATGAACAAATGGTTGCCTGTTTGAAAACAAAATCTATCGAAGAGATCAAAAAAGTTGTAATGAATGGTTCCGATAATGTATTGTCTGGAAAGTTATTCTCTCCAATGTATGGTGATGAAATTTTACCAATTAAGGCAATTCTTTACGAAAATTATCATAACCGTGTTGACTTGATTTACGGTGCCACTCATGATGAAGGAAGTCTTTTTATTATATTATATCATCCAGAATTGATGAATGATAAAAATACTTTCACGATGGAAAAAGTTCATGAAATGATATCAAGCCTGATGAGTCAAATAAATGCTGAAAAATCAAATGAAGTTATTGATTATTACACAAAAACCTTGAATGCATCGAATATCAATGAAGTCCGGTAAGTGTTATAATTCGAGTTATCATATTTTTTAAAAAATATATTCCTTTTCCAACATAAAGAAAAGTTATAGGTAGAATCATTGGAGAATCGATGTTGTTATGTCCAACAATGTTATTTGGCCAAAGAATGGCTCGTGATTATGGAACATCAAACAAATTCTATTCCTATCGTTTGGATAAACGATCAGCTGCTGCTGGTAAATTTGGATGTATATTCGAATGGATGGGTGTATGTCATGGACAAGATGTAGCATACGTATTCGATAATCCAGCCATAAAAAGCTCTCCTGAAGATTTGAAATTAAGTCATGAAATGATGAAAGCATGGACTAATTTTGCTAAAACCGGCAAACCAGATAAAGTCGGATCAATTGAATGGCAACAAGTATACGAAAATGGACATAAAGACTTGGCATCAGTCATGTTGTTAAATGTTGAAAATAGAATGGACAAAGGAACTTTTAAAGAATTATGTGGATTCTGGGAAAATATATATTCCTAAAATATTTGATTATTTTTTCCCAAGATGGCAGTTCAAAATTTGAAAATAAAAATTATCTGCATTTGAAATTCTAAGATGGCAGCACAAATGCAATTTAAAAAAAAAATCAATTTTGAGCTAATCGAATAATTTAAAATCGTTTTTTTTTACACAAGAAATATTTTACAGAATAAAAAAATTTTTAGCCAATTTTTTTCATTGTTTTCCATAAATGATAACTTTAATTGAAAATGAAGAAAAAAAACGAAAAAGAAAAAAAAACAGAAAATATCACATCGATAAAATCATAGATCGTTAAAACAGGAAAAAGAAAATTCGCTAAAAAACAAAAACAAAAATCAAAAAAAAGTTACGTATAATTTTTCAATCAAGCGTTCCTTTCATATTATCGACAACAATCTGATCATGTTTATAATAATTCCTAGTTTTGTTTTAAAATCATTCATTTTGTGTGTGTGTGTGTTAATGTTTTAGTTGTTTTGTTTTGTTTTTTAATTAATGAAAAGAAACGCTAATATCACTATTTTTTTAAGGAAATTGTTTTTTTGTTTTGTTTTGTTTTGTTTTGTGTTGATTTAATACCGATAATAATAATAATATGCATTCACAAGAAAATGATGGAAAAGAAGAAAGAAAGAAAGAAATCGGGTATAAACCCAAAAGAATGAAGAAAATCGATCAATCAATAATTTTTTCTCTTTTTTTTTATTCGTGTGTGTGTGTGTTTGCATTGGATGTTTGATGTAGATGTCTGGTAAAATGTGCATGACAGTCTTTCATTCTGTGTGTGTGTGTTTTATGTAAGTTTGGTGGAAAATAGATGATAGCCAAGAAGAATTTTGTTATTTTATTTTTGTTTCATATATCTAAATGATCAAACATGGAGAACCGGAAAGTTTTTTTTTCAATTTAACGTAAAGCCCTGATTCATAAACGTATTGTAATTGTTGTTGTTGTAGAATAGCAGAAAAATTCATCAATTTGAAGTTTGCATTCTTCGTCGATTAGTGGTTACAAATGAAGCAGTTGTAGCCGAAACTGGTAAAAAAGCCGATTGAAAACTTGGTTTCAATTTGAATTGTTTTTGATTAGAATCATGATAATGTTGTGAATGTTGTTGTCTAAGTTCAATAAATAAATTGTCGGCAATTGTTGAACACCTTTTTTTTCAAATAAATAAAAAGAGAAAATGAAAATAATTAGTTGAATGAAAGAAAAAAAATTAAGAATGAAACAAACCATTCATCCGATTGTGTTGGCTGATATAATTTTGGCTTATTTTTCGTTCGTGGTTCTTTCATTTCGAATATATTATCATCGACAATATCCGATGAGATCATTTTAGGACTGGGCAACATTTGTGATGAAAAATTCTGTTTGTTGTTAGTAACAAGTTTTGCACATTTACTATTGGCAATAATATTATGCTGTTGTTGTTGTTGTTGTTGTGCTTCATTCGGAAAATCGACGAATTCAATTGATGAATCGGCTTTTTTATTGTTGTTTTTATTATTAAAATTCGAATGAACATTGTTCATGATAGTTATCGATGATTCTTGATCGGAAAGCCATTGATCAATATCAGTCTCATCAAGGACTCGTTTATTTGAAGATATGAATCGATCCGGTAGTATTGTCAATGAATGATCAATGGACAATGATTCAGTATCATTATTATTATTATTTTTGCTGTTATTTTTGGTCATCACCAATGATGGTGATGTTGGCTCATCATCTACGTCATCACATAGAAAAGGCATACAAGATTGATCAATCGACCATTCTTGCCAGCAATCAATTTGGGCTATAGTTGATAAACTTCCGTTTGGACTAGATACAAAATCACCAGGATATGATGATGATGATGTTGATGAATCAACGGCAGCGGCAGCTATTAATAATTCAGTAACTGGTGCACGTCTACCCCCATTTGTTACTATTGTAGACATTGGTTGATGAATTTTATCATTACCATTATTTTCTTCACACTCAATTTGATTCTTTTCCATTAATTCAGCAATTTCCTATAATAATAAAAATAAATGAAAGAAAGAAAAACAAAAATTAAAAAGAGTTATCAGCCATTATTATAACTTAGGATGACTATTATCATTATAAATTTTTTTTTATCATAGAAAAACAAACAAGACAAAGTAATAAAGAGTTACAAAGAATCTAATGGAAGAAAATAAAACTTTTGAAAAAAAATCATGTTCATCGTTTCAATCATTAACTATACGAATAGAACAAATTAAATCATCAACAAATAATTCAACAGAATTGAACCAAACCAAACCAAAAAAATAAAAATAAAAATAAAAATAAAACCAACTTTAACCGAATCAATAGATTGTTCAATGAACTCTCATTGATAATGATGATGATAATAATAACATTCGATTAATCAATAAATGAATGAATGAATGAATGAATGAATGAATGAAAGAAAAGTTAATTTATGAATGAAAATTATTATTATCATCATTATTTGATTACAAAGATAGATAAAATCAGTGATAAATGTGTGTGTGTGTTTGTGCAATACAGTCGAATAACTCACAATAATTTACACTCACAGAAATTCAATTCATAGTTGACCGATTTTTTATTTTGGAGTAATGAAACGAGATAAAGAAAATTATTATAGATTACAACAGCAACAGAAATACAATATGTTAGCAATAAATTTTCATTGATAAATATGATTCTACTATTTCTGGTTTAATTGCCATATATACATTCTAGATTTGAATGATTTCAATAAAACCCAAAAATGAAATGAAATGGTTGCAAACTGAAGAAGATTCTCTAAGCAGAATAATAATAATAAAAAAATTTTGGTCTTATTTAATAACGAAAATTATAATAGATGATTATTGTCAGAACAGCCCAAACAACACAATCCATTTAACCAATATGGATAAAGATGATGATGATGATAAGAAAGAAAAACAAAACAATCTAATCACAATTTTCCATATGATTAATTGATTCATCAAAAAAAACTAACAAACAAATTTGTTCATTTTTCATTCTTTTGTCATTTGTTTCATTTTTTTTTTGTTGGTTTGTTTGTTTCATTGTATTTACTTTTGTATACCATAACAATGATTTTGAATTATCAAGATCAGATTCAATATTGAATTGAAGAATTTAGGAGAAAAACAAAGCAAAGGTAAAATAAAACTTCTATATAATATAACAGCCATTACAGCGAATGAATCCAAAAATAAAATGATGGATGGATGAATGTCGTTGTTATTTATTATTATATTTTGACAACATTTTTGATGATGATGATGATGACGGAAAAAAAACTAAGACCAAAATTAACAACAAATGGATAAATAATGATATTAAAGTCTTAATGTTTTTGTTTTTTTGGTTCCATTTATCTATTTTTGTTAATATGGATGGATAGATATTGAAATGGATCGTCGTCGTCGTCGTCGTTTTTTTTTTTTTTTTTTTGGAGGACAACATTCAAACAACAAACAATAATAGTAATCGATTATTCAGTAAACTATCAATTTTCAGAATGAATATAAAAAAATGGCAATAACTTTTTTTTCTCTCTTTGATATTCAAGGAAAAACGAAGCCATCCATACACCCCCTGCACACCAAAAACATTATGAAAGAATATTTGTTTGAATAGCTAAAATAACCCTAGAATGAAAATCTTATTTCGGGTAGGAAAAAAAACAATTGTTTGTTCAGTGTTAGTGCTTTTATATTCTTGTTCATAAATTTATGAAAATAAAGATGAAAAACAAGAAGATTATGTTTATAAAAAAAAATAATAATAACCATACATAATTACAAAATTATTTTAACCATAAGAAAAAATATTAATTTTATCGAGAATATAGAGTATATAGAATGACAACAACATTGATTTGTAATTGTTTTTTCTGTTTTGTTTTGTTTGTTGCCAGTCAATTCAATCATGATGCAAATGTTCTTGATAATATCTATAATAAAAATTTATCATTATTTTTTTTTGTTGTTGTTTGCCATTCAGGAGAAAAAACAACAACAATAATTCTTTTAATCAAGTAATACAAATGAAGAATTTGATCGACAATGTCCAGACAGTGTATAATAGAAAATAGTGATACAACGATAATGATGTAAAAAAAAGAAAGAATTGAAAGACAGAACAACAACAACAACAAAAACGAACGATTCAAACCAATAAATAAACGAAAATGTACCGAAAAAAAACCAAACAAAACAAATAAATAAACGATACTGGAAAGAAAACAACAACAACAAAAAACAAATCTCCAAAGTAATTAAGTTAATTAATATTAATGAAAATCTTCAATCGTAAATGTAATGTGAATAATAACAATTGCAATGAAACTATAGTAGTGAAAACAAAAACAAAAAAACAAAAAAAATATTCGTAGTTTTTTTTTATTCTATTTTTTATTCTAGCAAAACCAATAATAATAATAATAATAATGACAAAACCGCGACCAGTGGCCACCACCAATGATTATTCTTGTTGTTGTTGTTCGCATTACAAATTCAATGTATAAATGTGATTGTGTGTGAGAGAGAGAGATGTGCAAAGTATCATTTTCTTTTTTTAGTTTTATTTTTCTTTATTCCATCTAATTCTTCAAGTGTTCAAAAAAAAAGGAAATAGAATGAAAATTATCTATAGTGTCATAATAAATCATTTGTCTTCTTTATTTGTGTTTGTGTGTCTATGAGAATTTAGACACACACACATCCACAAAAAAATTGTGATTGTTAATTCTCATTCGAATTCCATCGTTAGTTTTTTTTTCAATGATTCTTGAAAGTAGTCAAAAATAGTTTTGGTCAAAAAGTTACGAATATAAAAATTGACAGAATCTTTTTTTTCTTTGTCGGCAACTTAGTTAGTTACTAACATTCTTTCAAATAATTTTGGACGGATGGTTTTACTGCCAACAAAACAAAAAGAAAAAAGAAAAATGCCAAAAGAAACATAGAATTAATACTGAACAAAAGCAATCAAAATAAACATCATTCAAATAGAATTAGAAACTCAAGAACTGATTTGACCAGTGAATAAATCACTGAAAATCACAAAGCTTTTTAATACAGAAACACAAAAGATTGATTATAATTGAAAAAATAATCACTATTAACAGATAGAATAATTAAATGAATGAATAAATGAATTTAAAAAAACCAACCTGATTAAATTCTTCAACAGAATTTGATGATATAAACATATTATTTGTATTTATTGGTTTATTTTGCTGTGATAATTGCTGCTGCTGTTGTGAATGATGATGATTATTTTGACGATCATGTGAATGAAATAGATGATAATGGTGATGATGATGATGATCTAAATCTATTGGCTGTTGTTGTTGATGATAAGCGCCAAAAAATCCAAATAATTGTTGATTTGATTTTTGTACTGGTTTTGGTATTGAAATCGGTAATGATTTTGGTAACATAATTGTATTATCATTATTATCATCATTATCATCATATTTAACAGTATGTTTATCCATCAATGATTTTGATTCTGTTAACAAATTTAAAAAAATAATCAAAATCAAAATTGGAAATTTTTATTTTGTTTTGAATTTATTTTCACTGAACACATTATTAGAACAACAAACAAATGTGAACCAAACATGATTATGTATTTAGACTGCTGATCTGATCATTAATTTGTTTTCTATAAAGAAGAGAAAGAAACAAAACAAAACAAAACAAAAAAAAAGGATCCAACCGAAACAAACAGGAAAGAATTAATAGGGTTTCATGTAAAAAAGCTATTAGTATTTGGTATTGTTCTTCTTTTTTTTTTGGGCCATAGAGGCTATTAATATTAGCCATTATGTATTACAAATTTTGTTTTTTTGTTTTTTCGTTGTTTTGTGTGATTGTTATATAACTCAACATGATACTTTAACATGCTGTTTATATATGTAACAATGTGTAATATGAACATAAAAACCAATAATGCTTTTGGGATGGAATATAGGAAAGAAATAAAAATAAAAATACATACATTTTACATGATAAAAAAAAACATGCTTACACAAATTTGACAATGTCCGATAAAGAACATTGTTCTTGTTTTCGATTTCTTTTTTTGGTTCTGTTCATTTTTTATTTCTATTTTGTCGGTTGGACCAATTAATATTATGGTGTCTATTATTTTTGTTGTAATTCTAAATAATATAATATATGAGAGAGATCAAAGATTTTTGTTGTTTCTTATCCCTTCTTTAATCACTCTTTTTTTTTGTTCTAATCGAATCGAATAATAATAATAAAAATCGACAAATTTGTTTGGAAAACATAAGAGCAGATCTGATAACGATATATTGAAAACAAAAAGAAAAAACAAAACAAAAATCCTTTTCTACATACCTTGTTCAGAACAAGAATTAATTGAATTATCAATTTGTTCAAAATGTTTATCATCGCCATTTTTCCAATCATACATTATTATGTTTGATGAATTATTTTTTTGATCCAAATTTTCATCATTTATGTTTTGTTGTTGTTGTTGTTGCTGTTTCCATGCAGTATTAGGTATGTTTAATGTCGATCTATCATCAGTATGTGTTACGCTTGACTTATTTGCCAATGTTTTTGTTGTTGTTGTTGTTGAAGGCGATGATGATGATGATGATGATGATAATAGAACCGTATTCATTGATGCATTGGTTATTTCATCACTATTTATTGAATTGTTTAAGCTATTGAAACGATTGCCATTATCATTTAGGTTTGGTGAATGTAATGTTAATAATTTTTTGCGAATCATTGATGATGATGCATCATTGTTCATCGAATCATTATTATTATTATTATTATTATTATTGTTTTGCATAGCTTTCAATGATGAAACATTTGTAGACATCATCATCATCATAAATTCTGTACCACATTTTCTAGTTGTATCAGCAATATTATTATCGGATGAATAATTCAATATTTGATTCGGATCATCACTGTTGTTGTTTAATTTCATTGTAATCAATTTTGGCCTTAGTTGATCGATTTTTTGTAAATTGAATAAATTTAAATTATTTTCTTGATTGTCAACATCAACATTATTATTATTATTATTATTATTATCATTAACAATATTGGTTGTATGGCTAGTAGATAATACAAAACATTCATTTTCATCACTCATAGTATTGCAGTCAAATCTATCACGTTGATTATCATCAGAATGATGAATATCAGCAATTTTTGTAACTTTTTGCTTATGTTGATCAGTGATCGGAATCATCAAATTACTATTGACACGTGATTCGTCATTTTGATCAATATGATCATCATCATGATAATCATTGTCGTCACGATTATAACTCATTTCATTGGATTCAAAAACAGCAGTACCAGCAGCAGCATTATTATTATTATTATGTTCATCATCATTTTTGTTTGAATTTTGTTTTTGTTCATGATAATTCTTCTTTTTCTCATTTTCATGACTAGCTATAATATTATCATTGTTATTGGTCATTGTTATTTTACCAAAATTTAATCTTGATAAATTAGTTTTGTTCGATGGTAATTTAGCATTAGTGAAAAATTGTTGTTGTTGTTGTTGTTGTTGTTGCTGACTATTATTAAAATGTTTCCAATGACTTTGTGTAGAAGCTTCATTGATTGTCAGTGCTTTTTGTTGTTGTTGTTGATATCGAACCAAATCGGTTTTTCCATTACTATCATCATCATCATCATCATTATTATCAGAAGCTTTAGCTGATTGATGCTCATTATGATTAAATGTACGATCAATGTATTCGACGGACGGTTGTTGTTGTTGTTGTCGACCACAATACTGTTGTTGTTGTTGTTGTCGGTGACGATTATTCGATTTGCAAACATCACTATGAATTCTATGGATCGCATTACAGTTATAATCATCATCATTATCATCAACATCAGAAAAAACATGACTATCATCGTCGTCCATTAAACCATTTCCATCAACATTTTCATTACTATAAACGAGGCAATCTTGAAGATTCAATTTTATATTCAATTCTGGTTGAAAATTGGAAATCTCATCGTTCATGGTGTCGATCATTGCTTTACGGCAATGATGATTTTGATTCTTTACATTATTATCGTTTGTTATAATAGAAATAGAATTTGTAGAAAAAAAATAATATAATGACAATACATTCATGATGATATATATTTGGGTATTGATGAAAACAGGAAAAAAAACAGAAAAGAAAAACAGGACATTAGTTAGTCAAATATAACAGAAAATACAATGAAAAAAAATCGAAATCGAAAACAAACCAATTTAGCATTTGTCGCAATCATCATTGTGGTATCATCACTAACATCGGGCATTTGCTTGTCATTTTGCTCATCATCATCATCATCATTTTCACAATGTTCCATTTCATTCACATTGATTACATGGTTGTCTATATTGGTATTATTCACATTATTATTGATGTTGATAATGGAATCATCATAGTTAGTATTGACCAAAAGTTGTTTCGATGAATCCTGTGTAACAAAATATCAAATCAAACAATAAATACAATGATAAAATGGTAAATGTAATGTATAAGAATTCATGATAATAATAACTTTGAAAAAAAAATACAAAATAGGCAATGGGCAAAAAAAATAATCATGTTTGAATCACATAAATTTTGTTGTTTTTAATCAGATGGATAACAAAGTTTGAGATTTTTTTTTGTTGTTGTTCTACTAAAGGTTTGCCTCTTTTTTATATTCAGAGCTTTTTATCATTTGATTAATATGCTATATATAAAAATAACGGTATTTTTCCATTTAGAAATGTAAAAGAAAATGAAAAGAGAATTACATTGCTATAGCAAAAACCAAGCCAAAAAAAAGACAAGATTTCTAATCATCATTAACGACCGAGTATCAAACAAATAATAAAATTAGGATCAACTCTTTCGCTTTTTTTCTTTTTCATTTTCCTATTCCAGATTTCAAAAAAAATTTCAGTATAGACAAGACACATTCCCACTTTTAATAGAAAATGGATAAAAACCAACCAAACAAAATAAGAAAATAAACCAAAGTAACGACGACATTATAAAAGATTGTAAAAAAAGCAATGAAAAATTTTCTTATCTTTTGTGTTGACGAAATTTTGTTTTCCAAAAAAAAAAGAAGAAAATTAATTGAGGATATAGACGAGTTCTTTTGAGGGAGAGAGAGAGAGTGCGAATGTGTTTATCTCTAGAATAATGTGTGAATTACTGTCTGTGTGTGTGTAGAAAAGATTCCTACATAATTCTTTTTTTAAAGGCTAAAATGGATTGAGAATGTATTTATTTATTGCTAAATTTAAAAATAATAGCTTTCATATCAGCAACATACAGCAGCAGCACTGTTATTCTTGATTTTTTCAGAGGAAAGAAAGATTTACAATTTTGAAAATTTTATTTATTGAAAAAAAAGACATTACAGATATATATAATTTAATCGTTGATGACCAATTATAGATGAATGGTATATAATAGAATTATCGATTCTTGTTTTTCTTTTTCAATGATTTGTTTTTTCTTTTTTCTCTCTCTCTCACACACATACAAACAAAATGAAGCCCAAAGTAAATCATTTTTTGTGTGTGTGCATACAAACATAATAGTTTTATTTTTGTTATAAAAAATGCCATAAAAATCAAAATCCAATGAATTGAATTATTCTGCAATAATCGATAGTGACAACAGAGAAAAAAACACACAGATATACTAAACATAGAATATTTATCTTTATAGTGAAAAAGATCACGTGAAAATAAAGCATTGTTTCTTGCAAGAATGAATGAATTTGATAAACTTTTTTTTTGTTCATTGAATAGAAGAAAATGGCTTTATTCCGGAAGAATTTTTTTTTAAACAGAATCAACTGAGAAACTGTAGACACATACAAACGGACATTTTATTCAGATATTATTAATACACTAATAATTCTATACAATTGGATATCTCTATATGGTTGAATCGAGTGAGAACAATCAACGTCACGTTCGCAACAAAAAAAAAATTCTTTACGTTTTTCGTCATCATCATCATAATCAATTGATATATAACTATCGTTATCGATAACAAAAACAACAACAACAACAACAAAACTTGACCAACAAAAAAAAGCCAATGCATTGATTAAATTATTATTATTATTATTCCAGAAAATAAAGTTACTAATACACACATTCACAGAATATAAAAAAGATAAAAAGTTATAATATAACCAAAATAATGTTATAACAAAAATAATAACTACTATCTCTCTCCAATATCGATCTATGATTCTTGATTATCATATATCGAATCAAGCAAAAAAAAATATCTTGGAAATATGAATTAGATTCAATCAAATTTTCATTTTGAATCCATTTTTTAAGAACAAACAAAAAATTTTCCAAATTATTATGAATATTGTCTGTCAAAACCCTACATATTAAAAAATGATTAATGAATTGAAAGTATTGAAAAAAAGAACCCCGAATATATATGATGATCAATGATAATTCAATCAAATATCAATCAATATTACAGAAAAATGTTTGGCACTTTTTTTTTTGTTTCTTGGGAAAAATCATTTTTGTTTGATTATGTATTGATCATTGTTGTTGTTTGGTATTTTTAGCCGCTGGTGAAACATGTTGTTGTTGTTGTATTTCTTTGATATTTCGAGTATAGAACAAAGAAAAAAAGAAATCAAGTAATTTGACAGTCCAATCAAGTGAAAACGGTATATGTTTAATAATATTGTTTAATATGAAATAATAATAATAACAATTCTACAAATTTTCTAGATCGAAAACAATGAAAAAGAAAATGTTTACAAATATATTCGCTGTCGTTAGCAAATTGTAACATAAAAAATCAGATAAAATTGTTAAATAAATCGAAATAATACAGAAAATTCTCGAAATTCTTATTCTGATTGAATTCAATCTAAAGTAAAAAGTTTGCTGAATGTTAATTTCTGTTTTGCTTTTTTTTAAAAAGTCTGAAAAAATAAATGGGCCTTTGATGAAAAAAAATTCTAACCCATTAAGCTTATTTATGAATGAAAATTGTAAATTTAAAAAAAAAATAATTTTGATTTTCTATTTTGTGTGTACCACATCATTCAATGAACCCGTATATAAACGAATTTTTCCTTCTTCTTCTTCATTATTATTTTATTTTAGTTGATTTTGCAAGACAGATTGACATCACAAAGCTTCTATGTTAATATCTTTTTTTCTCTTTTTTTTGACATTTTCTACAGAATTTCTGTTGTTGTTGTTGTTGCTCATTTCTGTTTGCATCAACAATAACAATGATGACTACACAAGAATATATAAGCAATATCAGTATTTATTTTTCTAGCTGACAACAATAAGAATGATCACCAAATAATCATTGGTGAATGAATTCATACCCTATTTTCATGTTAGCAATACTTTGCTTGTTATAAGTTGATACAAGAAAAAAAAAGATAATACTTCGATGCATCATTATTCTATAGAATAGGTGAATGACAAAGAATTTAACCATGAAAATAAGGTAATTAAAATTATACAAAATGACAAAACATTATCATGTTTAACAATAACAACAACGTCAACAAAATATAACTGTATCGCCATAGCAAACAAAAAAAAATCACAATAATTCCTCACTTTCCTGATATTGTTTACGCATATCGAAACACATTGTTGCTCAGAATAAAAAAATGAATGATATATACATACTAATGCCTTGAGCAATGATTTCGTAAATTAAAAAGTTGAAGCTTTTTTTGATATGAAAACAAAAATGGTTAGTTAAAATATAGGAAAAGGTCTTATTCTTCGTTTTAATTCAAACTTGTCCAAACATGATTCATCATAACATTTATGTTTAGAATAGAAAGAGAGGGAGAGAGAAAGAAAGTGAAAAAAAAGCATAGACCCGAAAGCAATAATTCATTCGTGGAAGCAACAACAACAACAAAAGCAAAATAATAACAAAAATGATTATGGAACAATTTTGGAACGCCGCTGGTATATTTTATGAACATTATATTGGACAATGTGACAACAACAACAACAACAAAAAATGGTTATATTATTTCTATTTGTCTGTATGTGTTTATGTATGAAAAAAATATCATCATCATCATCATCGTCATCATTTTTTTTTAATTGCATACGCTCTATATATAATTGTCGAGATTTTTTTTTGTTCAATAGTTTCATCCTTGTGTATCTGCAAAGATAGATGAACCAATGCAGATATATAAAAAGAAAATTTACTTCCCCCTTACAGCAGTAGAAAATAAAAAAAAACAAGAACTTAATGGTCAAAACATAAATAATAATAATGATAATAATAGACCAAACACAGAAGAATAAAACTAGAAAATAAAAATTTTCATTTTCATTTCTTTTGATCATCAAAGGCCCGTTCAAACAACAACAACAACAAAATGTTTGAATCGACCAATTTGGTGACATTCCAAACAATTTGGAATTTGTTTATTTTTAGATTGATGGTTTTTCTCTCATTCTTGATCGTTTCAATTTTTTTTTCTCGTTTATTCTTCTTTTGTTCCGCATCATTCTATTTTTTTTCGATTCAAAGTTTATTATTATTTCTGGTATCTAGGGCTTCAAGAATCCAAAACAAACAATTATACCGTAGTTCTTTTTTCATATGTCAAACATAGTGAAAAAAAAAGTTTAAAATAAAATTTGGAAACTTGAAATAGATTTTTTTTTCTACAAAATCGATAGATCCTACCTGCTGTTTGATGATGTTTGTTGTGGTGGTGGTAGTGGTGGCGGCGGCGGCAGTAATAGTTCCAATGATTGGATCATTATTAAAATTGTTGTTATTGTTGTTGACCAAAAATGATTTATCATTATTTTCATTTTTTGTCGCCATTTTTTTGTTATTATTTTTATCATATTTTTCATCAAAATCATTGTCATTGAAGTTTTGTTGTTGTTGTTGTTGTTGAAATGACGACATATGACAATGGTCATGATTATGATGATGATGATGATGTTGATGATGAGTGTTGTTGTTGTTACGTAAATGATTGTTAACAATAGGCAACTGCTGCTGCTGCTTCTTTTCTGTGGTTATTTTTGTTGTTGTTGTTGTTGTTGATGCATCTAATCGATGACAATGTTCATCGTTACCATCATCATCATCATTATTATTATCATTGTTATTTTCATTGACCAGAAATACATCCAGATGATGATCAACATCATGGCTATCAACAGCTAAGTATGCATCATTATTATTGCAACAAAATTGTTGTCGTTGTTGTTGATAATCGTTGTTATGATGATCATCATCATCATTGTGGTTATTATTTGGATGATGATGATGATGATGATGATGGTGATGATGATGATGTACCACTGAAGCAATTATTGAACAATTTGTTCTCCAATCTTCTGGTGTCTATTTAAAAGAAACGAAAAATTGAT